TCTGTATATAATTTGGTTATTTTCACACTTAATTATGCCCATTAAAATGTATTTTACACGTTTTTGTTACTTTCACTGTTCATTTTTTTCTCTCTCCATGGTAGCCTACATCATCTTTAATTTAATAGCATTAGAGCTGCTCCATTGCAGTGGCTTAGTACTGTAATCACGCGATTTGCTGTAAAAAGGTAGGGAACCACTCGTTATAAATCTCCTAACTGTGATATTTTCATAAATAGAAGTCACATTTTTTTCATCTAAAATGTGCAGCTATTTATTTTCCAAAGCCACTCATATAATGCAGAAACACTCATGAAGCAAGCAAAACACGCGCAATGCGTGCACGTATTTGTACTGGTGCAGAATGAGAGGGACAAGTACAGTACAGCCTAGCGCATTTCACACAGGCTGTTAGTTTCACTTTCGCCAGAAAGTCGTGTATGCTTAAGGGTAAAAATAAATGAGGTTTATAGTGAATGCCCCTATAAATTTTCTTATATTTATGATTTAGTTTTAATCCAAATGATGCGTGCTAAGTGAGCGAACATCAATAAAGAGCACACAACAGAAGTGTGCGCTCTCTCTCTCTCTCTCTCTCTCCCCCTCCCTCCCTCCCTACCATTAAGTAACTTGTGCAATGTTTTACTTACTTCTTTTTGACATATCCGACCGAACTACAAGCTTTCCAGTGATGTCTGTGAGAACGGGATATTCACTCGACAAGCTCGCGCATCTGCACCGCCGTGCGCTCAATCCACTCAGCGTGATTTGCTTACCAGCTGGCGCAAATCAGCTATACAGGCATTAATACTGAATGTTTTATATTCATTGCATACATATACTTTGTAGACATCTTTAATCTCTAATAACTCCATTCTTCTGTCTGTTGTCGGTGTTTCTTTGTCTGAATATGGCACTTATCACATGCTGTGTGGTATCGCCGTTTGGTATCGGGGCATTTTAACGAGTACAAGTACGAGTACAGGAACTCAGTATCAGGCCGGATACCGATACCAGATATCAGTGCATCCCTAATTATAATGAGTTCTATAGTATTTTGTCGCGCCATGCCGCTCGCGTCCAGTGTAGACACGGTGTAAGGCATTAGTCACTTGCACTATAACCGGTAATGCTCTGTGACGCTTTGTTGGTCTCTGTAATGCTGGTTGCAGTTCCTGTGCTAACTGTAATATCATGTTGCACGGCAGTCTGTTATTACTTATAAGTGTTTTGTCATCCAAATGTAACACATCTTCAGTGTCCTCCAAGAGTCGTTCTACGATTAAACATTTCCTTGCCGGCAGCCATATCACCCTGTAGCCCAAGACTGGTTACCCACTGAAGCTAAGCAGGGCTGAGCCTGGTCAGTACCTGGATGGGAGACCTCCTGGGAAAACTAGGTTGCTGCTGGAAGAGGTGCTAGTGAGGCCAGCAGGGGGTGCTCATCCGGTGGTCTGTGTGGGTCCTAACGCCCCAGTATAGTGATGGGGACTCTATACTGTCAACAAGCATCGTCCTTCGGATGAGACATTAAACCGAGGTCCTGACACTCTGTGGTCATTCACAATCCCAGGATATCTTTCTTTCAAAAGGAGAAAGGAGCTCTCATTCCGGCGTAATAATCAAGGAACTTTGCTGATATTTATATTGCGCAGTGCCTGAAAATAGGCTTGTTGGAAGTTATCTAGCTGGGGACTATTTTCAGGCGCTGCGTAATAACATTGCGCCTGCTGCACCCATGGTACGGCAGCAAAGTTCCTTGATTATTACGCTGGAATGAGAGTATAGTTCCTAGCCATATCGGCCTAGAAAATCACAACTTTTAATTTTCCGTCGGTCTTAGTACACGATGTAACTACAGAGAGTCAAGTTTTAAATAGGAAAAATATAGAAACTCTTTGGTCATTTTTGAGCGAGATGCTAACGGTCTAATCAGATTCAATGATCTATGCTAAGCTACAGCTAAAAGTGCTGCCGCCAGACCCGGAGATCGGCTGAATGGATTCGAAACGGTAAAACTCAACTGTTTAACTCTAGGGGAGTTGGAAAATGAGCCTATTTTCAAAAATAGTGGAGTGTTCCTTTAAGCCAGTTTTTAGGAATTTTTTGTCAAGTTAGGAGGTTTCTGTAATACCCCCTTCTTATCTGTAGTTAAGATAAGACAACACACTTAGGAAACGCTGTTCTGTAATAGCTTTTGTCCTAAATGTGGTCCTAACTGAAATTACAATGTTTACCAAACAGATAAGATAAGATTTTAAAGTTAGGATCTTTCTGTAATACACCCTCCTGACTGCTACTGACTACATACTGACTGCTTCTTCTAACAAGTGCTTTCAAACAGGTAAATAAGTACTTCTACTGGCTTTGGCCACGCCTTACTATTTAGCAAACCGAAACTGGAAAGTTCTGCGATACGCACGTGAAAAAATGCAACTTGAAAACGTATTTACCACGGTAAGTGAAATGATGCTTCCTAGCAACGACAAATGAAAAAACAAGACAAACACTTACAAACTGCTGTCCTCTTCTGCTGCTCGACTGCTTCTTCGAGAGCAGGAAATTTGTAACTCTGATGAGAGTGGTCTCAGTACTATGATACGGTCTAAATCCTGACTAGAAAACCTCACAGATACCATTTCTTTCTAAGAAGAAACATAGCTGAGAGGGTACTGCCTTTTCTAGTATTTTTGACAGAAAAGGGAGATTTGTCTGTAATTAACTAATTCTCTAGGATCAAGTTGTGTTTTTTAATGAGAGGCTTAATAACAGCCAATTGGAAGGTTTTGGGAACATATCCTAATGTCATTGGTGAATTAATAATATGCAGAAGAGGATCTATGACTTAAGCAACTCTTTTAGTAGCTTAGATGGAATAGGGTCTATTCGTGAAACTTGTGCCATATTAAACATGCGGATCATAAACTAGATTTCCATACTGGATCAGTCGATGTCTGGGTTAACAACGACCACCACTGGTACTGCTGGCCAGCAGGGTACCATTGGAAACTGCTACTGTTAATGTTGTTCTATGCAAAACTATAAAAACAAACAAAAAAACTCCACCTCAGCCTGTACTGCATGAGTGTCAATGCAAATGTTGGAGAGTTGAGGACACAAAATTTGCAAAAAAAATAAATCAATGGATGTCACTAATGTTTTTGATTGCTTTTAAATAATTCATTCATGCATTCTAGAACTTTTAAACTACATTAAGGTTAGAGAACACAAACAAGATTTACATAACCTTTAAAAACAGTAAGAAATGGAGGAGCTCTGATGTCCTAATGTAAGTTCATCAATGGAAAAAGCACAATCACATTTAAGTGTCCTGCACATGTTCTACAGCTGCTTGCTTATTTGACGCTTATTTGTTTGTCTGTGTTTTTGCAGCTGACAGACAGGAGAATGTGACGGAAGGGTGGAGAGACGAGGAATGTCATGTGATGCACATTTAAATGCATCGTCCTCCATAAAATGTATATAATGCACACTCTCCATCCTAAGAGAAAGACAGATGCCTTTAAACAACCATGAAGAAGCTCTACAATATCCTGTGGATTTTACTGGGTAAAGTACAACATTCATGTATCTGCTTTTTATTAGATTCACACTAACATAATAACAGAGTTTTCTGCAGTGTTTTTCCATTGTTCAGAAATGTTGCTCTGTTCGTGTTGAAATTTCTTGCCAAATAAACTTAATCTTGATCAGTTGCTGTTTCATACATTTATGGTTGTCTATAATTAAGGTATTTGTTTAACCATACATTTTTATCATTGTTTGCATTATATACTTGTGCTCTGTGTATTGTTACAAAACAACTAATATTTTCAAACATATTACAACTGAAAATAAGTAAAAGAAATACATTTTCTATGTGAATATATGTTCAACTAATTTATTGCTGTTATTAAAGGTGTATTTTCAGCATCATTACTCCAGTCTTCAGTGTCACATGATCTTCAGAAATCATAATAATATGCTGATTTGCTGCTCAAGAAACATTTCTGATTATTATCAGTGCTGAAAACTGTTGTGCTGCATCATATTTTTGTGTAAACTATGATGCATTATTTATTTGCAAGTTATTTGGAGAAAAGAAAGTTCAAAACAACATAATTTATTTGAAATATAAATATTTTGTAATGTTATAAATGTCCTTATTGACACTTTTGATTAATTAAATGTGCCCTTGTTGAATGAAAGCGTGAAGTTCTTAAATTTACTGATCTCAAACTTATTGATTGTAGAATGTGGATTTGTTTGTCACTTAATCTCTTGGATAGGTCTTCAAAGTTGTTTTTAGATCTACTTTACCAAACAAATCTTATGATAAATAGATGCTAATTTGTGTATAAAAATAGTTTGATAGTCTGTATTTGTCAAGAACACCTGATAGTGATTTACAGGAATGTTTCCTCGTCCCACTTTAGATTACAATATTTTTCTTGTTGCAGATTTTGTCATTATTATTATGTCTATTTTATGTTTCCATTATCATTTAGATAGTTTGTTAGTGACAATATCAAAGGGAATGCAAATATGATTGTGATTTAACAAAACCTAGTTCTACTCATAAATCTCATAAATCTCATGTCCACAGGGTTTTTATTGATTGAAGGAATGGCAAATGGACAAGAAGGCAAGCATTCATTTTATTTCAATCTTTGTTCTGTTTTGTCTGTTTGAACTGGCAAATATTAAAGTACTTAGAAATGTAAAAGTACTTAGAAATTACATTATCTGACTTGAAAAAAGAAATAAATAGCCGGATAGCTGTTCGTTCTTTTGCCTGTTCACTTTAAATATCTCTGGCATTTTTTGCACCCTTAATTTCTGACATTGCTGATAAGTAATAAAGATTACTTTGGTAAGATGCTTTAAAAATCCCCTTTGAGATCTAATGCTTGATAAGAATAAAACAATGGTGACTTCTTACTGGCCTTTATTCGTGAAACATTTTCCAGAGAACGCAGCACTTTGGGGTGAAACTAGTGAGTCATCAGATTATGGAATCTGGCTACCTACTTATGCTATTGATGGATTGTTGACCACCATGGCCCACACCAAATCAGAGACTGACCCGTGGTGGAGAGTGGACCTACTGAAAGTATACAGAGTGAACAGAGTCACCATCACCAATAGAAATATCTATGCTGATAGGATTAACGGGGCGGTGATTCGTATCGGAAACTTTCTTGACGTTTACAGCAACACCATGTGAGGATTTATTTGACTGTATTTAGCCTATTAATAGCACTGCAGATTAAGACAAACCAATAACAAACAATCTTTCTGTCTGTAGATGTGGTGTGATTTCTACTCTTGCGGCCAGTGCCACTGCCACTTTCTCATGCGGTGGGATGGTGGGACGTTATATGATTGTTCATCTTCCTGGAGATGACAAAATGCTTACTCTTGTTGAAGTTGGAGTCTACGGGTATTTGGCAGGTAATTCATTATTGTATAGCACTTTTCAATATTGAATGTAATAAATATTTTTTTATTACACACGGCTCTCTGGAAGGCTTGATTCTGATTGGTTAGTCACGACAGGGTGAGTTGTTCCCACTGATCTAGAGAACTGGATTGCTCACCGCGCCACCATAATGGTATTCCCTAGTCTTGCGTAACCAGACCTTCAGAATGATGGCAGAAGGTCTGGGAACCTTGGCCGCTTTGAATGGCCAAGGCCCACCCAAGAGGCCTTATGACTGACAGGTAAAGCAACCAATCACATTTCTTTTTGTGCCGCATCATGTTTAGGGGCGAGGAAATGTCCCCACAATAACAAAAGATGAGTAAAACTCTTGGACGTATTTTAAAAATTCTATGCTGCAAACTTTAAATATTTCACATACTTTTGAAAATCCAGTGTTTAGTTGATCCTGGTAAGCGCTCGTCACAGTTGTAAGCACGATGGCTTTCTTCTTCCATGAAGGGGTTTGGCATCACAACATCTTTGTTTCCAGGCAGAATGTTAAAGAACGTGACACACACGTCTCCCGCAAATCCTGTATAAAGCCCTATTCGCACGGGATTAGTATTACCTGGTGACCTCCAGTCATTTGTAATAATTGTGGAGGTTGTCTGTGATCTTAATCCCGTGCGAATCAGCCATGTCTGTAATTTGTAAAGTAAAAATTCCCCCGCAAATGACTTACCATATTTCACCGAAAACCGACGTCCTGTGATATTATTAGTCCCGTGCGAATCGGCATCTCTGTGATTTGGCCAGCATTTGGCGGATCGTATATAATTTTTCAAGGTTTTTGTTTCCTGTGCGCCTTTTTATCCATCTTTCGCAGAAAGAGAAAGCTGAAAAGGTTTTGAGGTTAATGTGTTACAAATAAATCAAGCATAAAGCTTTAGATATTATTTTAACCTGGTGAAATGTAAATGACACGAAACTATATTAGTTAATTTTTTTAAATCAATCTAACTGGACCATAGAACGGGACTCTCAAAGCCTTGACATCGTATCTGGGAGATGAGTCAGTAAATTCGAGTAAAATCACAGGCTTCACTTATCCCGTGCGAATGTACCACACGAAATTCAGACGTGGGGGGGTAATTTCAAAATCACACAAGGTCCCCAGATAATACTAATCCCGTGCGAATAGGGTTTAATTCAGCCAACCCAATGACAACTTCAAAACTCCTAAAGTGTTTCCAGCTAAGTGTGCCGTATGCATCAGACGTTCAGCCAACGGTCTGTGGGCGTGATGTCTGAGGCTGAGACTAGATATTCCCATACATTATACTGAATTAATAGAATTAATGAGAAAACATCAAGTCAGCGTTTTTATATCTTAAGTATCCCTGTACATTCATACAATGCAAACGCCCTAAGCATGTAAACGGTTATTTGTTTAATGTCAGGGATTTCCCCTAGGTATTTAAAAGTTACCTTCATTTAAATTACAGTAGCGTTCATCAGATAAATAAAAATAAACATTGGATGCTCAACATATGTATTACAAATGACAACATGCTCATTCTGAAATCTGAATAGAGATATTTGCTTTGTATACACATATAACTTAATTCACCTTGTACAGTTTTTCACTGTTTATTTGTTATTTGTATTATTGTTGTTGTAGTGTTTTTATTCGTACAGTAGGCTAACTGCAAATATTTCAACAATTATTTTGTTAACATCATTAATTTTGAAGCAGGTAATGATTAAAAGGTTGGTTAAAATAATAATTAATTCAACATATATACATAAGTTTACTCATATGGAAACGGTAATACTAAAACACCATAGAATTTGCATGATCTAAAAGTCTGAAATAGATGTTGCTCAATCAGGACATTAAAATATACACACCATAAATTATTCAGAGAAATAATGCTGACTAAATACAGTATGGTACAAAGGAAGCTTTATTTCCAAAATGATGCAAGCTTTGAATTTCAATACAACATAGAGCAATATAGTAACAGAGGCTTGTATCGTGTTATTCATTGTATATTCAAATGAATTTCAGATACTAATACCAGATATATGTTCATGTTTAACATTTCCTGCATAATTACATATATAAAGAAATATATTTTATGTTGGCTTATTTACTTGTGTCTTAAAAAAATTCCAAAGTACAAAAAAAAAAAAGACAAAAGAGGCTCTGATGGAAAACAAGAGCGAGCTGGCATTTGACGAGCACTTGTCAAACTTCTGGGGTGGAGCACGTTTTTACGTTCATCTGGCTGATAGATCAGCCATGATTTATCTGTTAATCAGATTCATTTTAAATCACTTTTTATGTGTGCGTGCTTTGGATGTGTGTGCACGTGGGTGAAGAAACTACATAGGCTAGTATATGTTTGACCGGCCGATTTATACATATCCAAAACGAGACGATGTGAACATGCAGTGCATGTTTCATTCATACTCAAAGCTGGAGGGCGCTCTCGCGCAGAAAGTCCAAAACAGCCTCGTGGAAGTAATAACTTATGATGTGCAGGAAATCCCTAATATGGACAAAGGCATCCCTCTACCGCTGTATATCTTAATTTCCAGGTAATACATAGTATATGAATAATGCCGTGCTAATTGACATAACATTTATTACAATATAGAAACTATTCTGCCTTATTATGTGTTTGTATAAACCAATCCTAAAATTGTCATTAGGAAAATACAGAAAAAAATGATAGAATACAAATGATTGGTTATCGTCCAGCAGTGTATTTGATTTCTTGGCCAATTAAAAGACATAAGCAAAAAAAAAAAAGCTTGTCAATTAGACAAAAGTCAAAAGTTTTTTTTTTTTACATTTCTGTCCCCCTCATTTCTGAAATGATGGCTATGCCCCTATGTGTGCAGTACAGAAAACAATGCACAAGTCTTCTTGTGCATGAATGGTTTAAAGTCATATTAAAATGCACACAAAAGAATCGATAAGAGGAATCGAAATTAAAATTTTATAACAAGTAGACGATTCCTGACCTTAAGCATCCTATTCCAGAATTGGAATAGATTTAGGATTCCCAAGCCTAGGTATGGGTTAAAATGTTAAATAAAATGCTCTTTTTTTGTCCTACCGAAAATGTGCCTGGAGTCCACCTTTGTTATTATAACAAACTACACTTTCAATGTGATTTTAAACCATTCAAGTCAAGAAGACTCGCGGGCTGTTTTCTCTGCTACACACACATCCTTGTGTAAGTGTTCTTTAGCCTGTTGATTTTCATTCATAGTATTCAGCTAACTATGAAATATTTTGTAATAAGATGATATCTAAGATTATTTATTAAATTTTTTTTTACCCTATTGTAATCAAAATTAGGAATTGACAAGAATATTGGAATCATTAAAATTCCAATAATGCCCAACCTTACCCACACCCCACATTATTTTTTTACTGGCACCTTTCTATTCACACTGTTTTAAACCCTTTTATTTAATTTTAAACCCTCACTTACCCTTCTTTGCTTTTGCCCTTCTTAAAAACAACCACATAATCTTATATGTGAATGTACTTTTCAAAATGAGTTATAAAACAGTTGCTCCTGGCAACAGGGATAGGTATGTTTGCTTAACATAGCGTCAATCATGACAATTTATGAGACTAATATCATGTTTTGCTCCAAAATCACTATATAACATCAGTCGTGTTTGAAACAGTTAGCTTCTGTGGTTCCATCTTGCTTCTTATCACAGTGAGACAGAAAATGTTTTTATAAAAATCTTTACTGTGATACAAGCTATGTCAATTAGCATTGCATTGCAATTGTGTGTTTATTGTCTTCCACGTTTCGTCAGTCGAAGTGTGTCTATCTGCATGTTATTCAGTTGATATCTGATGCATTTTTCCATATAAGGGATTTTCTGGGTCTCACTTGTGAAACAGACATTAAAGTACATGGGTCTAAGGGTTAGGGTTAACCCTGCTCCAAAATGCTCACATCGTCTCATTTTGGGTGAAAATATAAAAAAAATGATAAATTCCTTAAATAGCAATACTTTTACTTAAGTACAATTTCTTAGTACTCTTTCCACCACTGTTCAACACAGCTAACCTTGCGTCACTTCATGTCATCTTCCCACTCATTAAACTATGACATCTCCTTTACTGCAAAAAGATGGTCATTGCGACACTGTAAAGTGATGAAACTATGGCGCCATGTGGTGTTTTTTAAAACCATTTTTAATAGGTTTCACACTATATTATCGGCTTGGAAAATCTGTTATTGTGACTTGAAACAGAGACCGGAAATGTAAAGCACTGTTCCAGTTGGACAAGACTTCCTCGTTCAGAAAAATGTGAATTTGATTGTGTTTTATTAACGTATACACCTACACCTACCCCAACCCTAAACAATAATGCAAAAAACAGTCATTATTGTTGTACAGTGTGACAAAAGTTACATTATATTGATGTGCGCATGCCCAGGAGCCGCAGCTGTATCCCTTCTAGCCTTAACCACAAATCAGACAGGAGAGTAGATTAACTTCGGTGGACTTAAACTTGAAAAAGGGTGTGTTCTGCGGTTGAAATAAAATACGTTCTGATGTTTATGTCGTGCTTTAAGTACATATGAAAAGACAATCGGTTCACATGTGCTGCTTGAACTGAGGCACTACAGCGATCTGTCTTGATACTGTATTTACTGTTTGAATTTCTTTAAAAATGACTAAATTTGATAGCTGAGAGTCCTGAGACCTTGTTTCATACCAGAAGTAACCTGCACTGTCTTTTCTGTCGGTGTATTTTTCACTGCGTGAGAACATGATGTGTAGTGTGAGAGCGGCATTGTTTGTCAGAGATGGATTTATTCCGTGGAAATACGCTTCCATAGAAGTCTCATTCATGCTTGTTCAAATTATGCGTAAACATGGATCACAAAAGGTTTTTATTAATTTCCCAGGAAATCGTGCAGTAGAAGGAGCCGTAACACAGTCTTCGACATTTGCGGGCTGGTTTGCTGAAAAGGCCACTGATAGTAATCGTGGCTTCAAGCAGTTGAATACAGCATGCACCTCAACCCTTAATGAGTCTAACCCATGGTGGAGGCTGGATCTGCGTGATGTTTACCGAGTTAGTGAAGTGGTCATCACTAACAGAAATGACAGCTATGCAGGACAAATAAACGGAGCGGAAATTCGCATCGGAATCTCTTTGGAGAACAATGGCAGCAACAATCCCATGTGAGAAACTTGAGGTTAAAAGAATGTCAGATATCAAGAACAAATGTGAAGGATTATGTGAATGTGTTCTGTAATTGTTTCTCTCTCTGTGTGTAGATGTGCTGTTATTTCTACTATTCCAGCAGGTGAGTCCTACAACTTCTCATGTAATGGGATGGAGGGACGTTACATGATTGTTCATATTCCTGGAGATTGGGAGATTCTTAGTCTTTGCGAGGTTGAAGTCTACGGGTATTTGGCAGGTAATTAATTGTTGTAGAGCTTTGAATTTAAAACTCTACATGAATATATATTTCATGTACTCTCATGCCATGCTTAAAACATATTTAAAAGAGACACAAAATCATAATTTATGCAATTTTGTTTGGTCAAAGTAATTGATTTCTCACTTCAAGTCACTGTTCACTAATAATCTTTGCCTCTGCTACAAGCTTTGAGCATTAAGATGCATTGTGACATTTTTGTTCATACATTTTCTAGAAAATCTGGCAGTAGCTGGTGCTTCTACACAGTCATCAACATCTGAGAACTGGTTTGCTGAAAAAGCCATTGATCGAGGTCTCCAGCAGTTGTATACGGGATGCTCCTCAACTCTCAGTCAGACTAACCCATGGTGGAGGCTGGATCTACATCATATTTACCGAGTTAACAGAGTGGTCATCACTAACAGAAACGACTGCTGTGCAGAACGAATAAACGGAATGGAGATTCGCATTGGAAACACTTTGGAGAACAACAGCAACAACAATCCCATGTGAGGAAATTGAGGTTGAAAGAGCACGAGACATCGACCACAAATGTGAAGGATATGAGAGTATTTTTACATCTCTCATCTGTTTTTGTCTGTAGATGTGCTGTTATTCCTGCTATTCCAGCAGGTGAGTCCTACAGCTACTCGTGCGGTGGGATGGAGGGACGTTACGTGAATCTAATCATTCCTGGAGACATGAAGATACTCACTCTGTGTGAGGTGAAAGTCTATGGAGAAGGTAAACCGGTAAAACTGTTATCAGATATCAGAATATCAGATAATAATAATGTCTTAACTTGCATCATCGTATATTTTTTTTGTATGTTTATGTAAATATGTTTTAATAAATGCAAACTGTAGTAAATTGTGTATAGGGTCTAAAACATATTTCCAATATTTCAGTGTTAAATTAAGAAGATGTTTTATGTATATACATATACATATGAATATCCATGTATTTGTTTAGGTCCCTGTATTAAAAAATCATTTGTAAAAATGCAGTTTAAGTCCAGCAATGATTTGACTGTCTCTACAATGAGAGAAAACGTACTGAAACAGGTGAGAGAAAAAAACAACTTCAACCCTCATTATTACTGTAAAATACCAGTAGTTTTTTTCTGCTTTTGGAGATTTACATGGATAACTAGTGCTACAGTTATTTGTATGTATCATTGTAGATTTATTTCAACATTGGTTTATTTAATTTTATCCATTTATATATTGTCAGTAATCAGTATATAGAAACGTGTCGGTTACGTATGTAACCCTCATTCCCTGAAGGAGGGAACGCAGACGTCACGTCGTGACCGACGAATTGGGATCTCGCTTCGAGAGACCAATCTACTTCGAGTGTAAACTAAACGAGCCAATGCACATTGGCATGTGATGATTGCATCCAGCTGCCGCTGATTACAGCGTGAGCATAAAAAGGCAGCAAATGCAACGCATACCAGGATTTTGCTTCGGAGCCGAGCCGGTGACCCGGCCGCTCAGTGGTGGTACAGCAGCCGTGGTGACGGGACGTGACGTCTCCATTCCCTCCTTCAGGGAACAAGGGTTACATATGTAACAGAGACGTTCCCTTTCAATCGGTCACTACGAGTCACATCGTGACCGACGAATTGGGATCCACTATCCAGTGGGCCATCCTCTGCTTAGAGACAGCATTCCCCTCTGCCGGCCTCCGTAACAGACAAAGAGCTGGTCTGAGGTACTAAAGCTTTGTGTGCGGTCTTTGTGTCCAGATAGTGAAAACTGCTCTTTTGTTGAGAATTTGGGTACCGTCGACCGTGAGGCTGACAGCGGGGAAAAACAAAACAAGAGATTCTCCACCTGACCCTCCCCGGGTGAGGGAGTGGTGCGTTCACCATCTCCCGAAGAGTAGATTCCTCCATATCTGGGTCGCCCGTCTCAGGGCTGCTTGCTCTTCTGCTTGCCGCCAGGTTTGACGGGGGCCTGGACGGGCTGGGCAGCTTGCTTACGCCCGGCTACAAGACCTGGTAAGCTCCTCATACACTTCCGGGAAGAAAGGCACCGGGGCGAGGCGCTGAGAACCAGCACGAGCCACCCCAAGAAACCAATCATCTAACATCGAGGGCTTGGGACGCAATGGAGAATTCCACTCGAGCCCTACCCTTTCGGCGGCCCGGGAAAGCATAGCCGACATCTCTGGATCCGGTTCAGGCATTGCCACCGTCCCGGAGGGTGGCAGGGCAGCCGAATCTTCCTCTCCAGAGAGCGCTCCCTCCAATGCAGCGATCGACATCCCGTCATCGGGAGGAGCCCTGAGGGATACCGCTGGTACGCTCTTTGAAGAGGGCCCAGCATGTTCCTTTGGCGGCTCTGCTGTCTGCGGAGCGCTGGAGGAGTGGTGGGACCCTGAGGGGTTTGCCACCATTGTAACCCTCAGACTGCCCGCGCTACTGCTGGAAGTATTCCTCGCCTGGCTGCCGTCAGAACGAGCACTAAATCGCGGCAGAGGCAACGGAACACCGTCCCCCTGGAGGTAGCGAAGCCTTGTCCTCAGCTCCAAGATGGTCATCTTCCCGCAATGGGAATATGACTCATCCACGAATGCCACCTCAGCGTGCTTAATGCCCAGACACATGAGGCAGCGATCGTGACCATCACCTGGCGCCAGGTAACGACCGCATCCAGAAACGCACGTGTGAAACGGCATCTTTAAAAAGACGATCCGTCGTCTTTACAAATAAGCACCCGTGTAAGCTCTTTTAGAGAAAATTGGCTCTTTTAGGGAAAGGCTCTTTTACGTGCTGAGGCGCACAGGGGAGTAGGCCGCTTGCAGCACAACAGGGGTAGTGCAACCTGAAGTGTGCAACCCACTCGACACAGGAACGACCACCGCTGAAGCGCCGTCCGCCAACACAAAAGCTTCCAAGAGCGCGCTGAACTTGTAGTTCACTGAAGACACTGGTAGGAGCAGAACGATGTTGTCGCTCGGCTTCGAAGCAAAAAACTGGTATGCGTTGCATTTGCTGCTTTTTTTATGCTCACGCTGTGATCAACGGCAGCTGGATGCAATCATCGCATGCAAATGTGCATTGGCTCGTTTAGTTTACACTCGAAGTAGATTGGTCTCTCGAAGCGAGATCCCAATTCGTCGGTCATGACGTGACTCGTAGTGACTGACTGAAAGGTAACCAAATTTGACTGACATTGCTCCAAATTTGCTTCATCAGGAATATTATGACAAAGTTTTAATCTGGGTTTACAGTGACATTTAACATGAAGATTTGAATTCATCATGTAGTTCAATGTAAATCACTTTAGTATTAACATGTTATTTTTAGTTGAGATCTGCTCTAGCTGCTAGAGGATTGACAGATGTGACTCTGCGTTGGTCTCAAACCCCTAAACGGGTGATCAAGAAAGTGAATGTAGCTAATCCAGAATGTGAGTCTGTTCTCTCAACTGTACAATAACTTATGAAATAGGGAATGATTATAAAAACTATGTGATGTAATAAACAAAAATGTTTTATTTACAGGTCATTGAAGTAGGGAAAATTAATACTCTGGAAATCAACACTGCCTTTAATTCACTACATTCATATTCATTAAAGATGATTTTCATTCTAATTACACTGGCTGAATTTTCTTCATGTGTTTACTATGTGAATACTTTTAAAGCAGAACTATTGTAAAACTATCTTGTGTAATTGTGTATTGTCAACAAATAAAGATATCAATACATATAATTAAAATAATTAAACTTAACATGACTTAAGTTTTCTGTATATTCACTGTCAATGTAGATTTTTTTTTTTACGTCTAATATCTATATATTGTCATTTTAATTGTGTTGATGTTCTTGTTTTATTAAATTTCCTGCCATTTAATGTTGTTGTACCTTTGGAGCTGTAGTAAGATGAACGGAATCTCACCCCAGATAGCACACGCATGTCTGCAAGATGTCTGTTAAAGATTTCATGATCTAGAAAGCATCTGCTGTATACAAACATCTGACAGACGTCTGTAAGATGTCAGTTTTACATGCGTTCTAAATCATAAACATCTTAAAGACGTCTAATAATCGTCTATTTGAAATCTGATAGGAAATGTTTTATAGATGTGTTACAGATAAGCAAACAATCTAAAGATATGTGTCTTGCAGATGTAAATGCAGACGTCTCTGTGATGTACGTGTGCTATCAGGGACGGGAATGGACAGAGAACAGTGCAAGCATGGGGAATGAGCAGCTGTTTGCTTTATTTGAACTCTAACCAATTAAAGACCATAATCAGGGTCAGATTTTTTTTAGAAGCTTGTTTTTCTTAATTTTAAACACAGACTGTTCATTTTTTGTAATAATTGTATTGTAAATTGTATTAAGCTTCTCCCCCTCTCAGTGTCTAATAAAGATCAGGGGTCTCATTTATAAACGTTGCGTATGCACAGAATTGCATAGAAATATGCGTATGCAATTTTTCACGCACAAATCGGGATTTATAAAAAATAAACTTGCCATAAATATGTACGCACCGTACGGACATTCTAGACCATGCATACAAACTCTTTTATTTTTTTTCCTGGAGTGAGAAAAGTAATGACGTAAACGACGATTTTAAACTGTTTTCATTTTGATATACACAGTTACATGAAATATTCCACTCTCATTAACACTAGAACCGCCAGGGGTCGCTGTATATCTAAAAGCACTAGCGGGTAAATTTTACCCACGCACATGACAGCTGTTTTTGAATGACTAAAGAACATATTATTTCACTGTATTATGCTACTGTCTTCACGAAGAAGTGTCTATGAAATGATTATGTCTAGTCATCAACTATATTTTTGTCCTGTTTTTGCTCTAAGCTTTTTTATGCAGGCTACACTATAGTCACTTTTCATAACGGTCAATATTAAGCTAAACAAGCCTGCACTGACAACTAGAATTAGAAGGAAGTAAATACATATGTTGGTGGTAGATTTCATGATCTAGAAAGCATCTGCTGTATACAAACATCTGACAGACGTCTGTAAGATGTCAGTTTTACATGCGTTCTAAATCATAAACATCTTAAAGACGTCTAATAATCGTCTATTTGAAATCTGATAGGAAATGTTTTATAGATGTGTTACAGATAAGCAAACAATCTAAAGATATGTGTCTTGCAGATGTAAATGCAGACGTCTCTGTGATGTACGTGTGCTATCAGGGACGGGAATGGACAGAGAACAGTGCAAGCATGGGGAATGAGCAGCTGTTTGCTTTATTTGAACTCTAACCAATTAAAGACCATAATCAGGGTCAGATTTTTTTTAGAAGCTTGTTTTTCTTAATTTTAAACACAGACTGTTCATTTTTTGTAATAATTGTATTGTAAATTGTATTAAGCTTCTCCCCCTCTCAGTGTCTAATAAAGATCAGGGGTCTCATTTATAAACGTTGCGTATGCACAGAATTGCATAGAAATATGCGTATGCAATTTTTCACGCACAAATCGGGATTTATAAAAAATAAACTTGCCATAAATATGTACGCACCGTACGGACATTCTAGACCATGCATACAAACTCTTTTATTTTTTTTCCTGGAGTGAGAAAAGTAATGACGTAAACGACGATTTTAAACTGTTTTCATTTTGATATACACAGTTACATGAAATATTCCACTCTCATTAACACTAGAACCGCCAGGGGTCGCTGTATATCTAAAAGCACTAGCGGGTAAATTTTACCCACGCACATGACAGCTGTTTTTGAATGACTAAAGAACATATTATTTCACTGTATTATGCTACTGTCTTCACGAAGAAGTGTCTATGAAATGATTATGTCTAGTCATCAAATATTTTTTTGTCCTGTTTTTGCTCTAAGCTTTTTTATGCAGGCTACACTATAGTCACTTTTCATAACGGTCAAAATTAAGCTAAACAAGCCTGCACTGACAACTAGAATTAGAAGGAAGTAAATACATATGTGGGTGGTGTAATAGGCTATCATAATACAATGTCATTAATCAATATATTAAGATAACCTATGTTATTTAAATTACAAAAACAGCCTATAGACAATAACGAGCAATAGTAATTCACCACATTGCATAGGATGATGCAATGACAAATTCAAGCGCACAGCTTCACCTAATGAATTATTCATTTGTTTAGTTATATCATTTATAATTTGAATTATACAAGAAGAACACCAGTAAACGTCGGGTAATAATACAAAAAAATAATGTTTTATTCATTAGCCTACATCAGATCGGATTTTTCTTCAGGAAACAGGCAGACACAGAAGCGAACAATAAACGATAGAAATGGCAAATCAAAAATTAAATAATTAATCCAAATTTTGAACAATTATGAGTAACATTAGGATAAAACGCCTAAATATGATATAGGCTATTGATCGCCGTCAAATGCTGAGCCGACCCAGGACGCTTTACTTATCTCCCCACACTTCAGGCTCTCCATCGCTCATGACCTTTAAGTGCTTCTTATACTTCTTCAGCATTCATAAATCGCCTTCTTTTACACATGTTGTCTTTATTTATGAAACTGATAACTGCTAATTCAGTGAGTGAAAGGTGTGGCCTAGCAATGTACTGTTAGAACATAAGCAGCACGAAAATGACAGCGCAAACATACAGGCATTATATAGGAGGTAAATTTGACCCGCGCTGGCACTTATAGATATAAATGCCCCGTTTTTTGATCTGGTTTTATCTAAACAGTTTTTAACAACAGGGGCTTGATCAATGATCAATGATGCACACATACTTCGATATTATGGCGGACACTTCTGGATTCGATGGTCGAACTGTTCATTATCCGGTTCAAATTGGACCAATGATAATAGCTTACTGTACAACCGCAACTGCACGAGGTGTTAATGTCGTGTCAAGTCATCTCTACAACATTATGAAAAATAGCACTGTGTTTGAAGGATACGACTTGAAAAAAAAAAAAACGGTAAGGTTTGCGTGTTTCCTTTTTAAAATACTTTGTCAGTGACATGCAATTGTATTTACACTGCAATAAATATAGGATTATCTGTTTCCACTAAAAATAGCTCAAATATGTTCACCTTATCAGCAAAACTGCATACATTTAATTTGATTTGAATTGTTTAAAACAATTGAAATACTGTCTGGCCAGTGGAAAAGTATGAGGCCAGCTATATTCCGGGCTATTTATCTGAGAACTAAACAGTTTTGTTTTTATGGATATTTTGATATATTTATTCTAAAACATAACAAGGATATTGGATGATTTTAGCAATAAAAATGAATGTGGCACAAATGGCATTTAGTCCGTATCTCATATTTCCTTAACGTCTTCTTTGATGGTGTTAAACATGCTGTCACGTGGATGGAATATGCATGGAAATGATATGCAAATGAGGTTATGCATAGTAAAACTCGGTGTTAAGCTCCATATATGCACGTGTGCACAATCTTCCCCCCAACTGGGATTTACAAAGGGATTTTTGCGCAGGTTCTGGTATACACGTGGTTTTATAAATCTGAAAACTTTTGTGCGTACGTACACTTTTAGGATGGATATTGTTTTATAAATTAAACCCCAGGGCTCAGGTGAAGTCATAGTCAGGTCATTGTTACAGGTCCATGTAAGTAAGCTACACTTTAACACATTTTTTTTTTAAAGTACTTATGGAAATAATTTTAAATAATATACTTAAGTTGGTCCCACTTTATATTAAGTGGCCTTAACTACTATGCACTTACATCAAAAAATAATTGTACTTATTGTGTTCATACTGTATTGCAAAACACTTCTGCTGCTATTGAGGTGGGACACAGGTAAGGTTAGGGACAGGTTTGGTGGTATGGGTGGGTTTAAAGGTGGGTTAAGGTGTAAGGGTTGGGTCAACAGTGTAATTATAAATGTAATTACAGAAATTAATTACAGATGTAATTACATGCAGGTATTTTTTTTAAATAAAAGTACAATGTAAAAACATGTATGTACACAAAAAGTGCATTGTACCAAATGATTAATTTAAATGTAAGTACAATAGTACACTCTAAAAAATGTTGGGTTGTTTCAACCCAACTTTGGGTCAAATATGGACTAACCCAACTTTTGGGTTAAAATTTGAATGTAAAAACTTAACCCAACAGCTGGGTTTTAAGTGGCCTTAACTACTATGCACTTACATCAAAAAATAATTGTACTTATTGTGTTCATACTGTATTGCAAAACACTTCTGCTGCTATTGAGGTGGGACACAGGTAAGGTTAGGGACAGGTTTGGTGGTATGGGTGGGTTTAAAGGTGGGTTAAGGTGTAAGGGTTGGGTCAACAGTGTAATTATAAATGTAATTACAGAAATTAATTACAGATGTAATTACATGCAGGTATTTTTTTTAAATAAAAGTACAATGTAAAAACATGTATGTACACAAAAAGTGCATTGTACCAAATGATTAATTTAAATGTAAGTACAATAGTACACTCTAAAAAATGTTGGGTTGAAACAACCCAACATTTTTTAGAGTGTAGTTAAGGCCACTTAATATAAAGTGGGACCCTTAAGTTTAACTAAGCATCATGTTTTTGGACACTTAATTGCATGGTAATTGCAATTAAATCATAATGTACACTTTTGTTGAACCACTGACTTATTTATATGTAATTTCACAAAACTCCCGAAACTTTAATTTGATATTATTGTAAATTGCAATTTTTAAAACTTTACTTGTTGGTTGAGAAACATAGCCATGAAATTGCGGACC